GAGTCCTCCAAGTCCTCCGAGATGGGACAAGGTCCTGAATGCTGCGCTTAGTGCCTGTCCCCACACCAACAGCAGCACCCAGCCCAACACTGAGCCCACAAAGAAGTCACCAAATTACCGAAAATCGATCTCAGAAATGCCCTATTTCACAGTGGGGAAGGAAAGATTGTGAGGAGTTGAGCGACTTACCCAGGACGTTCAGCTGGGTCCCCGCGCCAAAACCAGCACTAGCACTAGTAGCACTACCAGCAGCAGCACCAGCAGCATTATCAGTACATTTGAGTATCTTCAAAAACCTGCAGCCCAGTTGCTTCAGTAGCGCCCACACTCTGGGCCTCCAGAGATGTGATGAGATGGACATGGAGGGATGCATGTAATGGGACTTAAGTGCCCTGATTGACATGTCGGGGGGAGATGCCTTGAGAGATGCTGTGGATTAAAAGGTTCCCTGGTCATCACCATTTCATCCATTATAGCAGCATTTTCAAACACCCTTAAGATAGAAAAAGAAAACCTTGGAAGACTATGTCTCCGCTGAAGAGCTCTGTCCAAGAGCACCAGGACAGGTCCTTCTGCTCTCCAAGGAGGTGAGCCTTTCACCTCGTGAGCAAGAGCACTCTCTGTCCTTCAGCTGTCCTCTGGCAAATGCCATGAGCCTTCCTGAGGAGCTTGGCTTGGAGTTGGAGGGAGAAAATATCTGGTCCTTGTTAAGGACGGCAGGCCTGCTCCTCATGTCTAAGGCTTAGGGACTTGGACCTGTGCAAGGACTCATTTTCTCCTGAAGAATCAAAGAGCCTCTCTAAGGAACCTAAGCCCACGTCTCTAAAAGAGGCCGCTAATGCTAGGCCTGGGGTCCATGCCCTGGGCAAAAGTAAAGACCCGTTAATTGAGAAGATACCCTGAAGTTGTCCTGGGCACAGGCGACAGTCTTCCAAGTCCTCCGAGATGGGACAAAGTGCGTCTTCCAACACTGACAGCAGAACCCAGTCTGTCACCCAGCCCACAAAGAAGTCCCCAAATTACCGAAAATCAATCTCAGAAATGCCCCAGTTTCGTGGTGGGGAAGGAAAGATTGTGAGGAGTTGAGCGACTTAGGACGTTCAGCTGGGTCCCCGCGCCGAATACATTAGTAGCTGAGTAAGGATCTCCAAAACCATCTGCCCAGTTGTTGGCACAGTGCTTACATGCTGTGTTCCGAAAAATATGGTGGGACATGGCTGGATAGATGCACAGGAATGGAGGGGCCCCAATAGACCTGGCTGGATTGAGGTGCCTCCATGGTTAGACGTGGTAGGACAGGCATGCTCTGATTTATGTGGTGAGCTGAAAGTACCCATGGAAGCAGCAAAATGGATGCATCAGCAAGGAGATGCCCTGATGACTGCAATGGACTGGAGATAACCCAATCTATGTAGTGGAGTGGTTGCATTGAGATTTAGGTGATGTAATTGATGTTTTAAGAGGGATGCAGTGGGATGAAGATGCCATAATGGGCATGGTGGAGTGGATGCACGGAGATGGAGAAGTCCAGTTGGCCGCAATGGCATCAAGGTGGCCAGATGGAAGTGGTAGGATGGCTGCAGCAGGAGAGCTGCAACAAGTTTGATATGTCCTCACAAACTCAGCATGGCAGAATGGTGCATGAGAGAGGGCTACACGTCCTTGCTGGAGAAGCCAGGGTAAAATTTAGGGCCTTGCCCTGACTATCCTGTGGGGAGAGCGTTAGTGTAGCACTACAGAGCTGCAACTGCATCACCTACCCTGTCACCACTGCCTTCTACTTGATAGGTGCCAACTTCCCTGCCTGCTGCAGAAGTAATGTTAACCCCAAGAAAAAAAGGGGTCTGGGGGGAAAGCAGCTGACACAGGCGCAGAGGTGGCCTGCGTGGACTAGGCTTTGGCACAGTGCAGGGGTGCCATGATGCACTGGGACATGCTGTGCTCAGGGTCACATGGGAGGGGACAGCCAAGATGCCAGGCTCTGCTGGGCCCTGTTCAGAGAGGGCCCCTAGCCCTCTAATCACCGCTTGGTCAGCCCTGTGGGCCACTGGCAGTGACATGAGCCCATATGTGGTGGGGCCCATGGGCACCAGTGGCAGCTTCAGTGCAGCAGGAGGGGGTTTGGCTCCTGCCTGATGCCCAGGATGGAGAACGCAGGAGCCTCCAGCAAAGATCCTGCCTTCGGGCACATGGGCGCTGAGCTGTGCCGTGCACAGTCACTCACTTGCAGCAGGCCCAGGGCACTGAGGCGTTCTGCTGAGGGCAGATTTGCTTCCCCAACCAGCACCTGGTGTTTCAGCACCAGGGGAGGCCGAGCTCTGTGCTGGGGCCAGGGTGAGCACAGGGCCCCATCAGTCTCGGCTTTGTGGAGTGGCAACTGGTGGCCACATTCGCAAGAGGGTTTGGTTCCTGCTCTGGCAGAAGCTGTCACAGCCCAGCCTGCTGTGGAGGAGCCCCAAGGGGCTGCCAGCAGCAGTGCCGGCAGCCTGAAGGCCACGTGGGACAGCACCAGCCCTGCGGTCCCACCAGGAAGCCATGACAGGTTGGGAGCTGCTGGCACACTGGAGACCGGGGCACAAGTGGTGGCTGCTGCTACAGCCGTGCTGAGGTTGGCCCAACAGTGGGACACGGCACCTCAGGAGCAGCAAGCGCATTTGGCAACACCCTCCCTCTCTGCAGCAGCTCCCCTGGGGCCTCTCACACTTGGGTTGCCCATTGGGCGCTGCATGGCAGGAGGAGGAGAGGAACGGGATGGCCGGGCAGCCCCTGGCGGGGCCACAAGCCAAGCGACCATGTGAGCAGAGCCCTGGGGGAACGCGCACAGGTGGCACTTGGCCCCTGGGCCACGCTGGCAGCAGGATCCGCACCCCGTGTTCAACCAGTGAGGCAGGACAGAGACACAGATACAGAGCCAGCGCTAGTTCAGTGTCTGTGTTTATTAGGATGACATCAGAGTAGGGGGACAAGTGAGGGGCGCAGGGAGAGGGCAGAGAGACTGAGCACAGGGGGACAGCAGGGACCTGTGCCGAGGGAGAGCTGCTTCCACCAGCAGCTGTGGGGATGGGCAGGCATGGAGGCATGAATGTGGAAGGGGACGAGGAAAGGGGATGGTGGAGCTCCTGAGGTGTTAGACGGAGCACTCAGATCTCTTGATGACCTTCTCGAATTTCTGGCCACTGTGCGTGACCTCACAGGTGTACGTGTCATGTCCCTTCCATTCGTCAGCAGTCAACGACAGGTAGCTGCTACCCATGTACTTGGTGTTGCTCTGCCTCTGGGGCGTGGTGGTCTCCACGTTAGCGGTTCTGGTGATGCCATCAACCTTCCAGACAACAGGTGCAGTACCAGGGTAGAAGTCGGCTATCAGACACACCAAAGTGGCCTTTTGCTTTGAGCTGATCTCGTCCGCGGACGGAGGGAAGAGATACACACTGGGGGAGACCGTGGGCTGGCCTGTGGGAGAGAGAGGGAGTGACACCAGGGTTAAGAAGAGAGACAATATGGCGACAGAATGATCTACCGTGGTACATCACCACTGCCACAGCATCAAGCATCAGAAGACCCACTTGTCCCCAAATGCCAACAGGGGTGTCAGCTTGCTCCTCAATGCCCTGGTGACCTGGATGGGCTGGGCAGCAATGTCCCCAAGCACCCTAGGCCACCGTCACCAGGAAACTCTGCCTTCCCCGTGATTGACATCTTATACTTTATAATTGCCATACACTTGAAAATAACATATATAACATATATGCAACATAATACATACATATAAGCGCTACTTATAAACAATACATTCTACATTATGTAATGTTATCCATAATATGCACAATGTAGAATTCATATTTTCCATATGCCTAGCTTTCCATGATTGTATTTTCTGTCTACAGATGGACTGTTTGCTAAGCATAAAATTTAGTCTAATGTTTCCATTTTTGGCTCTCTGATTCTCTGACACAAACCTTGTTCTTTCTTTCTTTTATGACTATCTTCTCTTACCTCCAGAACTCAACCCCAGCCAGCCTGTTTCCCAACCAGTTCTGCTTTTAGGCACCAGCAGATCTAGCTCATAAAATGCACGAGCAAACTGCCAGGAGCAAGACTGATAAAGGACGTTTGTTCTTTCTCACACACCTTGGCTGTCTCCGCAATACCTAACCCTATACACCAGAAAACTGAGTGAATCTCCTCCCACAAAGAGCTTTATGCTAAAGAAATTGGACATCTACATGATTCCCCCTAGCCCCAGTCCTTTGGTTCAGACTTTTTGGTGCCTCTTTCTTTTAAAGAGCACGGACATCAAAGGACAAAGATTATTTTCATTACTTTCATGTCTACAGACCGAGCAACATTTTCAAACACCCTTGATTTAGAAAAACAAAAACAAACAAAAAAAAAGAACTGCTCTCTCTCTCACTGCTGAAAAGCTCTGTCTAAGAGCACCAGGACAGGTCCTTCTGCTCTCCAAGGAGGTGAGCTTTTCAGCCCACAGCCAAGAGCACACTCTGTCCTTCAGCTGGCCTCTGGCAACTGCTGTGACCCTCCCTGAGGAGCTTGGCTTGGAGTTGGAGGGAGAAATGGTCTGGTCCTCGTTAAGGACAACAGACCTGCTCCTCAAGTCTAAGACTTAGAGAAGTGGACCTGCACAAGGACTGATTTCCTTACGAAGAAGCAGAAGGGAGCCTCTCTGAGGAACCTAAGCTCAAGTCTCTGAAAGAGGTCGCAAGTGCCAGGACTGAGGTCCATGCCCTGGGCAAAAGTAAAGATCCAATAATTGAGAAAATACCCTGAAGTGGTCCTGGGCACACGCCAGAGTCCTCCAAGTCTCCCGAGATGGGACAAGGTCCTGAATGCTGCGCTTAGTGCCTGTCCCCACACCGACAGCAGCACCCAGCCCACCACTGAGCCCACAAAGAAGTCACCAAATTACCGAAAATCGATCGCAGAAATGCCCCAATTTCGTGGTGGGGAAGGAAAGATTGTGAGGAGTTGAGCGACTTACCCAGGACGTTCAACTGGGTCCCCGCGCCGAAAACACCACACAGTGATTTGAGGCTGTACAAAAACTTCCAGTCCAGCTGCATGAGTAGTTCTTGTCCCCCTTGTCCCCAGGGATGGAGATGGTAGGATGGGGGTTTCTCGATGGGTACAACAGGATGGACGCATCAGCACGGAGGTACCTCAGTGCATGCAGTGGTATGGAGCTGCCCCAATATATGCATCTGAATGGATGCAATTTCCAGAGTTGCTGGGGGCAACATGAGCGCAGTTATCTCCTGCCGCTGATCAGCAGGCGATGGATAACCAAGGAGTCTCCCACCACACTCATGCCTGAAGGCAAGAAAGCTCTGAGCTCTGTTAGTGCTCACTCACTCACGGCGGGGCCAGAGCGCTGGAGCATCCCCCTGAGGACACACAAGCACTTCCCTTACTGGCTCCAGCATTTTGGCACTGTCAGAGGTCTGTGCTGGGGTGAGCAGAAGGGCTCTGTCAGCCACTGGGGACACCTGCTGAGGGCGAGGGGACATCCCTCCAGAGCAGGTAGCAGCTGGAGGCCAGAGCCACAGGACATTTTTACTTCTCCTGCGGCAGGAAACACCAGCAGACACAACTATTAAGGTGTCCTGCCCCTTGGAGATGGAGCTCCTGCTCCTGGCTCTCTGCCTTGGCACAGTGTGTGCCTCACAAGCAGCCAGAGACTCCTGTGCACACCAGGCCCTTTCCACCGCCATCATGCTCACCTGGGCTTCCCTGTGCCACAGTCATGAGGGGGATCTTCCTGCCAAGGGGCACAAGTGCAGACGGGAAGCCAGTGGGATGGACATAGTAGGAAGGAGGTGCTTAGCTCTTGAGGTGTTAAATTTAAATAGCTCCCATTTAAAACGAAGTCAAAAATATTTAGGCAGTGTGGTTTCTGCAAGTGGTTACAGAAAGATGCAGATCAGTTGGGTCTTGGAAAGTAACTAGAAATGGGCCTGTCCTTTGTGGGCTGTGCATGCATCAGGAAAGGCTCGTTACACCAAAAGCGTTTGCAGGAAATGGAGAGCATCAGTGAATCTTGCAAGTCATTAAAGGCAAATGATGCATAGAAAATGTTGTGGTTTGAGGAACTTTCAGTTTCAGAAGTTCGTTTTGCCCTGGGAAGGCTTAGGCACTGCTGCAAAAACTCATTGAAACCATTTATGCAAAAAACAAACAAACCAAAAAAAAAAAAAAAACCCACAAACATGACTGTTACTGGCTAAAACCAGCACTGGCTGCTGAGGGGACCAGTGCTGCTCTCAGTTTGCCCACCCCAGGAGCTCTGGCTGCCTGCTCACCAACAAAGCTTTGCCACCAGCAGTGCAGGACAGCACGGGAAGGGCTGTGGTGGGAACTTGTGTGACCATCATGAAGGAGGCAGCAGTCACTGCTTGATGGTCCCTGAAATGGCAACAACAGGTTTGTGCCACACTTTCCCATTGCTTGGCATAAAGGCAGGAGCATCACTGCGGCCATCAGAGGTAACAGAGTAAAAACGAGCCTCATTCTTAGCTTGGGTCTTAGGGATGAATAATGGGGCTGTGGAGCTGCTATGTGATGGTAACAGGCACAGCCCCAGGGAACTAGAGCAGGGCACAGCCTTGGGCACAGCGGGGCAGCATGGTGAGGGCTGCGGTCAGGACATGCACAACCATCGCAGGAGGAAGACAAGCACTGTTCAACAGCAATGGAGGGAGGTTTGTGTCACACTTCCCCTTTGCTTGGTGTCACCGTGGCAGCAGCACTGTTACCACAGTAATAGACGGCCTCGTCCTCGGTTTGCACCCCAGTGATGGTTAAGGTGTTTGTGGAGCCAGACTTGGAAGCAGAGAATCGCTCAGGGATGCCCGAGGGTCTCTGGTTGTTGTTATATATCACAGGGACCAGGGAACCACCAGGTTTCTGCTGCCACCAGCCATACCAGCTGCCACCAGCAGAGCAGGAGATCTTGGCGGTGCCTCCCGGGGACACGTCCAGCGAGGCCGGCTGAGTCACTGCTGCCTGGACCAGGGAACCTGCAGAGGGAGAGGAGAGAGGGCAGAAAGCGGCGGGTCAGCGAGTGCCGCAGCAGCAAAGCCCCCCGCGCAGCGTGACGCCCCGGGGTCCCTGTGCCGGCCGCGCACAGCCAGGCTGCCCAGGGCACTTCTCTAACGTCTTTTTCACCTACATCCTCCTGGGCATGGCCCCTTCATGCAAATCTGCCCCACGGTCACTACCCAAGGCTGCCATGGCTGCACTCACTGCAGAGGAGCCACGGCAGCACACATCCATGGCTGGAGAGCAGAGACACATCCCACATACTTGCCAAAATCGAGGTACAAGTGGGACCCCCTAACCCCAGACCAACATGAGCAGAGCAGGGCCTAGGAGCATCATGCCAGAGTTCAGCTGCTGCGACACAGAGTTCCTGCATCCCGGCTGGGCTCTTGCTGGTTCCATGGCTCTGTGCTTGGGTTGCTGGGCAGAGCAGAGCTCCCGCTGCCTCCCAAGGAGGCCCCAGGGCTCCTGCCTTACGGCTGCCTGGAAAAACAACGCCAGGATGCGGGAGTTCACATACCTCAGGCATCACTCAACAACAGCACCTTGCAGCACCCAGTGCTCCCTGGGTGCACCACCACTCCTTGGGGCACTGCCAGGTTTCCGCTGGTACCAACCTTAATCTGGCTGCCCCTGGAGCTGGTTATCTGGGCAGTCTGCTCTGGCGACACGGACACCCAGGGCAACTCAGTGAAATGAGTCAGCAAGCAGGGGGAGGAGGCAGGAGCTCCCACTGCCCACGTGCAGAGAGCAGAGCTCAGCAAGGGCTGCTAAACCTACAGGCTCTATCCATGTGCACCCACGTCAGCTCTGATGCTACAGCGCCAGCCCCAGAGGGGAGCTCAGCCTGGAGGAACAGGCACATGGCACGGTTTTCCCAAGAAAGTCTGCAGCTCCACACACTGCCCCACTGCAGCCTCTGCCCCTCGGATGGGCCTCAGAGGGTGTCGGGCTGTGCACGTGCCCCATCACTGCTGCACAGACTGCCTCACCCTGAGCATCTCCGACACACGAGGCCCTTTTCTCCTCTTGCCCAACCAGCACTGAGCTCCCTCCCTGCAGCTCAGCCCCACACAGGGCCCTTGGGCTTTGCAGCCAGGCTGGGCTCTCCTGCCTGTGCTCACACAGGAATGCAGCAGTTGGAGGCCTTGAAGCTGGGCCAGAGGCAGCCAGAGACCTCAGCACCTCGGCGGCAGCTCAGCACGAAGGTGCGAGGCTGACGGGCAGCAGATCCCTCGCCCCAGCATGCTCCTGGCAGAGCTGCGTGGGCAGAAGGGCAGGGAGGGCACCCACAGGGCCCTGCGCACCAGCCTGGCCATGCAGAACAGCTCATCCGAGCAGCACAGGCAGGAGACAGGGCCCGGATGGGCCCCGCCAGCCTGGGGTCTCTTCCCTCCTCACGTGCAGCTGAAAGATGGTGTTGGTGTTGGCCACAGACAGGGCAACTAGAGTAGGACACAGATCTTTGCAGAGTGGGGGAGTGCGCGGAGGGCTGTGGTTGGGAGCCGTGCGACCATCAAATGGGGAAAAGAGACACTGTTCAATGGTCCATGCAATGACAGGAGGTTTATGTCACACTTCTCCTTTGCTCAGTGCCACCGTGTCACCAGTATAACTACCAGTATAACCACCACAGTAATAGACAGCCTCGTCCTCGGCTTGCACCCCAGTGATGGTTAAGGTGCCTGTGGAACCAGACTTGGAACCGGAGAATCGTGAAGGGATGCCCGAGGGTCTCTTGTCGTTGTAATAAATCACAGGGACCAGGGAACCACCAGGTTTCTGCTGGTACCAGCCATAGCTGCCGCTGCTACCAGAGCAGGATATCTTGGCAGTGCCTCCCGGGGACACGTCCACCGAGGCCGGTTGAGTCAGCGCTGCCTGGACCAGAGAACCTGCAGAGGGAGAGGAGAGAGGGCAGAAAGCGGCGGGTCAGCGAGTGCCGCAGCAGCAAAGCCCCCCGCGCAGCGCGACGCCCCGGGACCCCTGTGCTGGTCGCGCACAGCCAGGCTGCCCAGGGCACCTGAGCCGTGGGCGAGCACCGCGAGGAGGAGAGCGGCCCAGGCCATGGCGCGATGCCACTCGCTGCACGTCCCCACGCGCCTCTGCCTCGTGATCACTGCCAACGTCTCACAGAGTTCCCATCCCACCTGCCCTCCCGTCTTCGTCTTCCCTCCACCTTATGAAGGGCATCCTGCTCCCCTCAGCTCAGAGCCACCACGTGACAACGTCCCCACACTGCCCAAGGCGCAGGTTTCTTCACCTTCCCATTGCCCATGGGTGACGAGGGAGGTCCAAGACTTCTGGTTGTTGTTATATATCACAAGGGCCAGAGCTGCGCGCGCCTCCTCCCCTCCGCCCACCCCGCGCCCAGTCCAACACGGCCACGTTATCCACAGCGTGGCCTTTCCCGGGTTGGAGAGCAGAGACATATCACACACTTGTCAAAACCCAGGCACAAGTGGGACCCCCATCCCCAGACGAACATGAGCAGAGCAGGGTCTAGGAGCCTGGGAGAGCTCCAACAACTCCAGTGTGGAGCCGGACAATGCTCAACAACAGGGCCATCTCCACATTCCACATCCCTCCTCTTGTTTCATGTGTTCCTGGCCCCACACAGGCCTTGGCCATTCCTGCCTCTGTGAAACACATTGTGCCCTGCATGGATGCAACTGTCCCCCACCCTTTCCCACCAAGGTAGGTGCCAAGTCTGTCACCCAGGCAAGAATGATACCTGAGTCCCTGCGGAGGTCACTTTGGAGCCCTACATCCACCTCTGGGCTCCCCAGCATAAGACAGGAGGGGTTCAACAAAGGGCAATAGGGTGCTGGGAGGCTTGGAGCCTCTCTCATCCTGGAGAGAGGCTGTGGAACCTGGGGCTGTTTAGCCTGCACAAGGGAAGATCAGGGAGAAGCTCATCAATGCTGGTAAATACATGATGGGGGGCAAAAGACACAGATAGGCTCTTCCCAGAGGTGTCCCAAGACAGGACGAGAAGATGTGAGAGTAAACTGAAATTCAGGATGCTCCTTTTATAGGAAAGAAACAGATTCTTCTGCCCTGAAGGAACTCAAACTCTGGCCAAGATGGTCCAGAGTGGCTGTGCAGTGGTCTGCCCTGGAGACAGGCAAACCCCAAGGGGACACAACCTCCACCATGTTCACTGCTCAATCCTGCTATGGCCAGGGCAGTTGGAGGAGACGCCTGCCACTGAGTAGCAAGTTGGATCCAATCTCAGTGACTCCAGGGCTTCCTTTGCCCAGCACCTGCATTGCCCTCTTGCTTTTTTGGTTCCTTCCCCTTCCTTCTTCCAGCCCTGGGCCAGATTTTCAAGGCCTTTTCTAATCTCCAGGCTACACCTACACAGTGGCTACCTGGCAACAGCCTCCAGGAACACCTCCAACACCCTCCCTGACACTGATCACAAGCCCAGCGGGACAGGGCAGGCCTGGATGTGGCAGGTACCTCTGTGGGCATCACAGACAGGTCCCGCTGCAGCAGCTCACGCATCCCAAGGCAGCTCTGCCTCATAAGCACATTTGCTGCTCCACCATTAGGCTCCCCACTAGGAGTGAGGAACTGAGGGGCCCTGGCACTGCAGCATGTTGTCATCTTACTTCCCCTTTGCACGATGTCACGGTCACCAGTACTATCACTCCAGCCACCACAGTAATACACGGCCTTGTCCTCGGCTTGCACCCCAGTGATGGTTAAGGTGGCTGTGGAGCCAGACAAGGAACCGGAGAATCGCTCAGGGATGCCCGAGGGTCTCTGGTCGTTAGCATATATCACAGGGACTGGGGGACCACCAGGTTTCTGCTGGTACCAGCCATAATCATAGCTGCTGCTACCCCCAGAGCAGGTGGTCTGAGCAGCTTGTCCTGAGGCACAGACTGAGTGCCTCAGACATGCTGAGTAAGAACTGCCTGGCTCAGGGAAGTAGGAAGAGGAAGACAAAGGAGGGAGAGAACAGGCTGTCAGCAGGTCCCGGAATAGCAAAGTCCCTCCATACACTAGGCCAAATGGGGCTCTGGTGCCTGTAGGGCTGGAGAATGGGACACCCAGTATGCCCTGACCCATGGCACGCTCTTACAGGGTGGCTCTGTCAGTCCCTGGCCTCTGCCTGCTGCTGCCTCAGGGTCAGGCAGCTCCCCCTGGTTGAGGCCAGGTAGCCCCAAGGCTTTGCTGGCCTTGGACACCCAGAACTTGGCCCTCTGGGATCTGGGCCACATTGAAACAAAGGGGAAGCCAGTGGCTGATGAAGAGTACGGGGGACAATTTGTCACAGCCGCACAGCTAGGAGACAGGAGTCAGCATGGTCCCCAACAGCCTGGGGTCTATTCCCTCCTCACGAGCAGCTGAGAGATGAGGGTGGTCACAGACCAGTGTTCCTAATGGAGGGGGGAGCAGTGGTGAGACATGTGCAGAGAAGCGTGGCAAGGGCTGTGGTTGAGGCTTGTGCCAAGACACCAGACACTGTTCAATGGTCCATGCGATGGCGGGAGATTTGTGTCTCACTTCCCCATGGCTCGGTGTTTGTGTGGAAGCACTAATGCTGCTGTCCCAGCTACCACAGTAATACACGGCCTCATCCTCGGCTTGGGCCCCAGTGATGGTTAAGGTGCCCGTGGAGCCAGATTTGGAACCGGAGAATCGCGAAGGGATGCCCGAGGGTCTGCTGCTACTGCCATATATCACAGGGACCGGGGCACTGCCAGGCTTCTGCTGCCACCAGCCATAACTATAGCTGCTCCCAGAGCAGGAGATCTTGGCGGTGCCTCCCAGGGACACGTCCACCGAGGCCGGCTGAGTCACTGCTGCCTGGACCAGGGAACCTGCAGAGGGAGAGGAGAGAGGGCAGAAAGCAGCAGGTCAGCGAGTGCCGCAGCAGCAAAGCCCCCTGTGCAGCACAACGCTCTGCCGCGGACCCCCTGCTCCCTCTTAAAGCCCCTCATGCCCACAGCTCGGCCCCTCCATGTAAATGTGCCCTGTGGTCAGCGCCAAAGCCTTCCCAGTGCCACATTCACTGCAGAGGGCCGGGTCAGTGCCAGCTGCAGCCCAGCCTGGAGACTCAGCCTGGGGAGGTACCACGTCCTTTTGCTCCAGCCTGCCAAAACCCCCACTACCTCCCTCATCCTTTTCCAGTCCTCTCATGGCTGCACAGAAGGCTATGCCCATCCTAGGAATGATGGACAAGGCCCTGCCCAGGCACTTCTTTGGCCCTGTCACAACCTCCTTGGGACTCCCTACTGTGGCAATAGGGTCATGTGTCAAGGTGTGCTGCATCCAAGGGCTGTTGATGGCTCGGGACCACTGAGCTGCCTGTGGGGCCTGTGCAGACCAGGGGACTACAAAAAGGCAAGAGACAGGCCTTCCCCCTTCCGTATCTGAAAATGTTCTGGGTTGGAGGAGGTCAAAGACTTGAATGTGAGGATGAAGATGGTGATGGGTGCATGCTGTGGGGCTGGGGTCAGGTTGATAGAGGAGCGCAGACTCCATCACATCCCTCGTCACTAGAAGAGGCACAGGGTAACTATCCTGCACCACCGTCCCATACACAGCCCTTCATCAGCACACCAAGGCCTTGGGGAGAACACAGGGTCAAGGCCAGAGAAACCCCAGATCCCGGCAGGGCAACTCCTCATGTGAAGCACTTCAAGGCCAGAGCCCCACCAGCCCAGCACCTCCAACCACACCTGACCTTCCTGCATCCCACAGAGCCCATGTTCCTCTGCCCTGTCCCCCTGCCCAACTCGTGGCGACCTGGCAAATGCTACTACTGGAAACCATTCCCCAGAGCCCATGGGAGCCATCACCCTCAGCCCCAGCAGCACCCTGGGACAGGCAGGGGAGCTGGGCAGCCCCTGCCATCAGGGGGACATGGCTGGGCACAGGCATGTGCCTCCCAGCTGGCGCATGTGCCACAGGGTTCCTGTGCAAGTATCAGAGCCCTTGGATGCAGAGAGACTCTCCTGTGAGAGCCACAGGGGCCTGGCTCTGCCCAGGGCACCCAGCACCCAACCCCGCTCCAGCGAGGAGCGTTGGGCTCACTGCTCAAAGCTGCCTGCCCCAGGGGCTCCAATTCCTGGGGTCCCACCCCCCTGAGGCTCCTGGCAAACAGTGAGTGGGGCACAGGTGAGAAGAGGAGAGCAGGAACTGTCCCTGAGGGCAGAGAGGGGTGGCTGAAAGGGTCCTCACACTCTCCAGCATTTCTGTGTCACTTCCCCATTGCTCAGGGCCGATGGGAACCTTGTAAGCAGCACCGTCCTAGGCAGCACAGTAATAGACGGCCTCGTCCTCGGCTTGTGCCCCAGTGATGGTTAAGGTTCCCGTGGATCCAGACTGGGAACCAGAGAATCGCGTAGGGATGCCCGAGGGTCTCTTGTCACTAGCATAGATCAGAGCGACTGGGGCATGGCCATG